CTTTCTTACAATCTTGCAGGTCCCTAATCTTAGTAGTATCAAACTCAAATAGAAACAGAGCCACCAATCCATCCATAAGGATCCCTGTCAGCCACATGTTGACTTAATTTTAAAATGTAATGTTATCTATTTTTGTCATATTTATACTTATTGTGTTAAATATTTCCCAATTACATTTTAATCTGGTTCCACAGTACTTGGGAATATTAGACTTCTCGTACTGGGCCTCGAGTCAGGAATTTCAAATCTGGCCTCAGACACTTATCAGCTGTGTGATCCTGAGCAAGTCACTTAACTTCTGTCTGCTTCCATTGGCTCAAATGTAAAATGGGGTTAACAGCCCCTGCCTCCCAGGGTTGTTGCGAAGATCAAATGAGATATTTGTAGAGCACTCAGCACAGTGCCTGGCACATTAGACACTTAATAAATGCTTGTTTTCCTTCCTTCCTTTCTCTTTCTGCAACAGCTCTCGCATCTAACCCCTTTTCTTTACTCACACAGTTACTAATTTAGCTCAAGCCCTTATCAACCTCTCACTTAAACTATCATAGTATTGTCCTCCTAATCAGTCTTCCTGCTTTCATTCCTCTAATTCTTCCTCTACCCAGCTGCAAAAGTGATTTTCTTTATGCACAGATTTGTATGTGTCACTCCCCTACTCAATAAACCCCAGTGGCTCCCCATTACCTCCAAGATCAACTATAAACTCTTTTGTTTACCTTCTGAAGTCTTTCACAACCTGGCCCCAAACTATTTTTCCAACCTCATTATACATTGCTTTCCTTGGTCTTCTCTCTGTTCCTCAAACATATTACTCCATCTCTCATCTGTAAGCCTTTGTATTTATCATCCCCCATAAACGTGGAATGTACTCCCTTCCTCACATCCCCCAGTGGAATTCCTCACTTCCTTTAAGAGGAAGCTCAACAGGCAGATTTCAGAAAAACCTGGAAAGATTTACATGAAATGATAAAAAAGTGAAGTAAACAGAACCAGGAGATGGTTGTATTCAGTAACAGCAACATTGTGTAATAATCAACTATGATTGACTTAGCTCTTCTCAGCAATATAATGATCCAAGACAATTCCAAAAGACTCATGATGAAAATGCTACCCACATCCAGAGAAAGAACTGATGGAGTCTGAATGCAGATCAAAGCATACATTTTCACTTTATTTTTTTCCTTTTGCAAACTGTTTCTTCTTTCACATGCCAATTCTCTGTGTAAAGTAATTTGGAAATGCATTCAACAAAATTGAAGTCACCTGATTGGTGATCTCTAATGATTGGCTTTTACACCAGGACAAATTTAAATTTGAGATGTAAGGGGCAGCTAGGTGGCACAATGGATAGAGCTCCAGCCTTGAAGTTAAGAGGACCTGAGTTCAAATCCACTCTCAGACACACAACACCTACTAGCTGTGTGACCTTGGGCAAGTCACTTAACCCCAATTGCCTAGCAAAAAGCCAAAAAAAAAAATTTGACATGTAAATCCTGAAAATTTTTCCCTAAGCTGTGATTAGTGAAACTTGCTATTTCAGGTAAAAGCTCATGGGCTATAATTGATTTTATTTTGAGTAGTCTGATGGATCATAATAATACATCCATAATCAATAATCCACCATCTGAGAGAAATGCCACAAGCTACTCAGAGAGAATGTGATACAGGTGGGAGGTCTGCCTCTGGGGGGAAAAACTGAGAGGACGGTTTTAGCCTCAGTCTAAGATGGGATCGTCCCGGCTCAGTTTCCCCATTACGTTCCTTTGAAAAGGAATGTTACCTACCTGGCTATTCCTGAGACTGGCTATGAGGTGGATTTGATACTGCATAGTTGGAAAACTGTGAATTATCTGAATTCAAACAGAGCTAAGGATGTTTTATCCTGTCATATTTGGGCCCTAAATCTTGTCCCTGCTTTATCCTTTTATAGCAAATTTCTATAGTGAGAGCAAATAGACAATAAAAGATACGTAAGATCTTGCTGTTTTGACCTGAATGCATAGTCATTCAATACTCCAAATAACTAAAATTAAATCAGAAACTTCTTCAGTTCGGTTTGGGGAAGAGAATTTCAGTGCAGTCAATTTTCTTAGAGGGAGATAACCTATTTGGCCTAATCATTACTTAAGTATTCTCCCAAGTCTTTTGTTATAATTGAAATAAAAGTCAGTCTCTGGCAAATTCATTTTCGTAACTATTGAAGAGTGGGAAGCAATGGAGGGGGATGGGGGCGGGGTGGAAAACTTCTACCAGCAAAAGTGTTGCTTAAACTTTTGAGAAAGTAAGGAGATCAGATAATCCTGCAGGTCAAATGTGAATGATTTTAATGGGGCTTTTGTACTTTCATTTCTCCCTATATTTGGACCCTGTACACTTGCTTGTCAGATTTGTGTCTTTCATTCTACAGGCCATTCACCTACAGTTGGTAGCAAACCATGGGTACCGGACAATGTTCCCCTATCATCCCCTGGATGCAGCCAGGCTCGGTTCCAGTCAACCTCCTCTTTGAGACCCCTCCAGGCAGGGACAGTTCTATACCCCTTGCCAGCAGGAAGCAGTTTCAGAATCAGAGATCTTCACTCTTACCCCAAAAGAATTTGGGTTCCATTTGTTTGAGGGGGGAATATGGGGCACTGACAATGGACCGCTAAAAGGCCCTAGACTTTTCCAGGTGACCCAGGTCCCCGGTTCCCAGATCCCTGGCGTTCACCTGGGGTACCCAGCCCTTCTGGGTGCTTCTCTGTTCACTCCTTGATCACTGTATACAAGTGTCCATCTTGCCCCCATCAAATGCTCAGATTCCTTAAGAGTCTGGCCTGTTGTCAATACAAGTGTCACAAATGAGCAGATTCTTAAAATCTTGCCCACCTCAATAATAAACCTTGTCTCTGACTGAAAGAAAGTTGGATTCATTTGAGGCAGGACTCACTTATTCTGCCCTTGAATTTTGGGGTTCCCAGCATCCCTAGACCTCAACAAATGACTTGCCCTGGGTCACACAGCTAGTAGGCATCTAAGGCCAAATTTGAACTCAGGAAGATGAGTCTTCCTGACTTCAGGCCCAGCACTCTATCCACTGTGCCACCTAGCTGCCCATAGATATAGACATATAAACATAAATACTAGTGTATCCTTGTCAGATTATAAGCTACTCAAGAGTAGAAATTGTTTCAGCCTTTGTATTTATATTCCCAAGGCTCAGCACAAGGCCTGGCACATAGTAGGCATTTAATAAGCACTTGCTGATTGATTGACATCAATGAGTCAATAAATATTTATTAAGCATCTCTACTTGCAGGCGCTATGCTAAATCCTAGGGATACAAATAAAGGCAAAAGACAGTCCTGCCCTCAAAAGAGCCCATTATCTAATGGGGTAGACAACAAAAAGGGAACAACTATTACATATAAACAAGTCATATATAGGATAAATAGAAAATAAACAGAGGGAAGATACTAGAAGGAAGGATTGGGAAAGGCTCTGTGTAGAGGGAAGGATTTTAGTTGGGACGTGAAGGAAGCCAGGGCACCCAGGAGGTGGAGATGAGGAGGGAGAGCTGTGAATGCACATCAAGGGTAGAAGGATGAGGAGAGGATGAAGGGTTAGGGATTCAAGACCAAGCTTCTTGAAGGTGATTGTTTCAGGGAAAGTCAAGACTGGGGAAAAGGGGGTAGAAGGGGATCCTGACCCAGGGGAATGCCTGATGCCAAAACTCAAAGACAGAGTAAGGCAAGGTATAGGTTTTCAGATTGTCTGGATGATGTCAGGTAAGATACTGGTACAAACCAGGTCTGCCTCAAAGATAAGGAGGAAATAGCCACTGAGGGTGGGCAGGGCTAAGGAAGGGGGGAAATTATCAATATTGCTGATCTCTGTGTCAGGAGCAAGCTGATTCTAAGCAGATCTGGACCCAGATGGGGTAGTGGAGAGAGAAGGGGAAAAGGAGGGTTAGGAGGGAAGATGAGTGAAATAGGGGGCAGACCACTAATAGGGAGGGAGATCCTTGATGACTTTGGTTCATTGACTTGCTCCCCTCCCTGAATCCCCAAGCAGGAAACAGGAAAAATCAATCCAGTTAGTTAGAAGTACCACATTGCTTTTCCCCCTCTCCCTCCCCTTCTCTAAACTCCAGCTGAGGACAGCAAGTGATAGAAAAACAAACTAGAGCCTATGTTTACATGGGGGAAGGCAGGGGAATGGAGGAGATGACCTGTGTCATTATCCCATGGGATACTTGACCTTTGAGTGTAGGAACTGAGAGTGGTCATTCCATAACTGGGCAATCCTGAGTTCCAGGGGAGAGTGGATGGAAGCCCACAGAACTTTGGAGGAGAGAGATTGACCTTCGAAACCCTCCCCCCCAATCTCCTCTAGTCCACTCCTCCTCAAACCATGCGTCCTCATCCCTGTCCCCTCTCCCGCTTCCTATCCTTCACTCCTGTCCCAATCCTTGTTCCAGCCCTCTGCCCTCTCTACTCTGATCCCCTCACTCTGGTCCAAAGGAGACCAGTGGAGAGGGTCTGGGAGCCCTTAATTCCCAGTCTTCCCTTAATTTTTTCTCTAATTCTGCAACTCTCCCTCAGCCCCTGGACCCCCAGCTCCTCTCCCACCCACCATCAATATGCTCTCCCTTGGCCCCACCCCTGCTACCACGCTCTTCTGGCCAAGTCTCCCTTCCTGTTCTGTTCCTGGAACCGACCCTGGCTGCAGATCAAAGGCTGCCTAGCTCCCACCGCCTTATCTCAGGGACCGCATGACTTAGGACTTACTTGGTTGTCTTTCCCGGGCGGGGGGAGGGATGGAACACCTGGGTGGCCCTTCTCTGGGCCCCGCCTCCTGACCTCGCCCCAAATAGGTCACGAAGCCGAGTTCTCCCCTCCTTCACCCCAACACCGCGGGGATCCCGCCCCCCAGCTACCTCGGGCCTGGACCCCGCCCCCCTGAGAGTTAAGAGTGTCCCCGGAGCCGGGTGCAAGGTCCATACTGTCGCAGGCTGAGGGGCCGGAGGGGTTACCATGGCGACAGCTCCGGTGATTCGCACCCTGGCCGGAGTGGCAGCCGCTGCAGGGACAGGAGCAAGTTCGCGGCTCCCAGCCCTGGAGAGTGCCCGCAGATTCAGCAGTAGTTCCAGGAGACGGGGATCTGGGGGTGCCAGCCCCGGTCGCCTCCTCAGTACTGCCCAAGTCCGGACCCAGCTGCCGAGACAGAAGGCCGAGCGGGATTCCGAAGAGACGGCCGGTGACAAGGGACCTCCTCCGGGAGTGGGACCGCCTGCCACCACCACGTTCCCGGGTCCAGCCGCCGCGCCGCCCCCGCCCCCGCCCGCCGTGGCCCCCGCGCCGCACTCCAGCCGCTCGCTGGTCCAGCGGGACATCCAGGCGTTCCTGACCGAGTGTGGGGCCAGCCCCGGGGAGGCGAGGCACTGGCTCACCCAGTTCCAGACCACTTATGAGTCGGCGGATAAACCTTTTGCCATCATCGAGGTGAGGCACGTCCTGGAAAGAAACCGACATTGGCATATCTCGATATGGGGCTTGGCAAATCGCGACAGGAAGCCTGCCATATCACTGGTTGGGGCCGATGGGCAAACCAAAATGGGGCTCCGTATATTAGAGGAGCTGGGAAGGAGGTTGTGGATGGCCCCTAGCAGGTTACATGGCGACAGAAATGGGGCATTAGTGCAATCAACTGAGCACAGGGCACCTTTGGCCCTGCAGATAGGCAGAGTGAGTGAGATTGGAAAGGAACTCTCCCAGCTTCGGACAAGCCCATCTTGGGAGGTCTTTCCTTTGGCCGGACTACTGACTATTAGGGTAATGGTGGGGGATGTTTCCCAGATTTGAGTAGGGGTGGGAGAAGTAGGGTAGGCAAGCGGAAACTGGGCAGCAAGTAGGATACCATGTGAGAAATACAGAAACCAGTAGAGTTGGGAAGGAGCTGGAAAGAGACATTGGATTCAGAGGCACTAGCAGTTAAGGAAGGAAAAACAGGGCAATAGCCTGCCCGTCCTTGGCCCACCCCCAACAACCAGTGCCCCACCTACCTTGCCCTATGTAAGCCCTGGGGTCCAAGGCCACCTCTAAAGAGGGGGAGGGGAATATTGAAGGAACAGGATGAGATTGAGGGGTGGGGAGAACAAAGGGTGGGGCACCAGTCCAGGAGTGAAGTGCAGCACTAATCAGGGCTCTGAGGACTGGGCATATGGTCTGGAAGGAAGAAAAGGGAAGGATCCTGGAAGATGCTGCTAAACCTCCAGAGGCTTAGGGCCATACTGAAGGCCTCCCATGGCTATACTACCGGGGGTGGGGGGGGGCCTGAGGGGGGGAGAAGCTAGAACCCTGAGGAGAGACACCAAGGACTGGGGCAAGGACAAAGGGGCATGGTCAGCAATGGACCCTGGACACCTTAGCAGATGGCAGCAGACGAGAATATGGGATCATTATGTAGGTACGAGGGCACTGGTGTAGACATCTGGGGCGGGGGGCTGACAGAGGACATTGGCATTACACAGTGAAAGGCTCAGATATCAAGGATACCAAAAGCAATAGCAACATTGAGTCACATAAGGGTGAGAACATTAAATGCACACAGGATGGTTGGGCTATTTCCAATGCTCTCATCACCTCCTCCTCTGAAGGTGGATGAAGCTGTGTTCAAGAACAAAGAGGCAGTCCTAAGTTTGGCCTTTGCTCTGGCCTTCTTGCAACGAATGGATATGAAGCCACTTGTGGTTCTTGGACTTCCAGAACCCACCGCACCCTCTGGCTGCCTTTCATTCTGGGAGGCCAAGGCCCAGATGGCTCAGAGCTGCAAGGTCCTTGTGGACTCTCTACGACACAATGCAGCCACTGCTGTGCCCTTTTTTGGGGGAGGGTCTGTGCTGAGCGCTGCTGAACCTGCCCCCCATGCCACGTAAGTGCCTTTCATTTCCCCATCTACTGTTCCCTAGGCACATTCAAGCTTCCTTGCTACTACCCATTACTAATCACTCTATGCCAAGTACGTAGCACCCACCCTCTGAGTTCCATGGCTAACTCGGTCTATCCCCTGACCCTAGCAGTACAATTCCCTAGCTCTTCTTTGCAAACCCATACCAGGTTAACAGTAACCTCCTTTCCTAAGCCCATATACTTCCAAACCTGCCACTTCCCCACACATCAGAGTAAGCTGGTACTTTGCCTATCTGTGCCTCCTGCTCCCTGAGTTATGGAACCCCAGACAGCTGAGCCCCTACTGCAACTCTTACCTGCAGCTATGGTGGCATTGTCTCTGTGGAGACAGACCTGCTAAAATGGTGCCTGGAGTCGGGTAGCATCCCCATCCTGTGTCCTATTGGCGAGACAGGTGTACGGCGCTCTGTGCTGCTCAATTCCTTGGAGGTCACTGCTGCTCTGGCAAAGGCTCTGCTGCCCACCAAGATCATCTTCCTCAACACTACCGGGGGCCTACGGGATGCCAATCAGAAGGTAGAGCACATCCACCTTGCCAATCCTCCATTTTCCTATCTCTTCATCCCACCTCGACCCCAGGAACTTGGGTCTTGATCCCTGTCTCAGTCTCACCCAAGTAAACAGCAAAATTTGATTGTCCCTTGCCTAGCCCCCTTTGTTTACCTCTGGTGTCTCACCTTGCATTTGTCCCTTCTGGGTTCAGGGATGCCCAGGACCCCACACTGAAAGGGTCAAGTTGATATGCAGGCAACCTGTTAAGATCAGACCAGCCTCTGAAATTTTTTTTTTTAAGTTTAATTATTGCTTTTTGCTTTTATGCTTGTCATTTCCTTTAACATCCCTTACTCTACCCCCACCAAACTCAGGGCAACCACGTCTGACAATGAAGGGAAATGATGTGCCCATGACTACAAAGTCCTCAACTCTCTCCTAAGAGGGAGGGCGCTTCCTTTATCAGTTCTCCAATATCCTTACATTAGTCCGTGCATGGTTCTTGTGATTCTGTTGTCTTCATTATGTCACTTCACGTGACCAGCCCTTGAATCTGGGGGGTACACTATGGAAAAGGGAATCAATAGGACGGCTGGGAAATCATTAGAAAGAAGGATCATGACAGGAAGCTCTTGATCAAGGTCTGGGCTCAGAGAAAGGGGCTAGTGATAGGTTCATTGTCATGCTCTCTCCCTGTCCCTAGGTTCTGAGTAATGTGAACCTGCCAGCTGACCTGGACCTAGTGACAAATGCCCAGTGGGTAAGCAGCAAGGAGAGGCAGCAAATGCGGCTCATTGTGGATGTACTAGGCAGACTATCCCATGACTCCTCAGCTGTCATAACATCTGCCAATACCTTGCTTACCGAACTCTTCAGCAACAAGGGTAAGCCTAGCCGGTGGGGAGATATCTACCAAATGAATGCTACCTGCAGGATGCTGGTGGACATGTTAAGACTGGCAACCAAAGATTTATAGCAATACACGAGGCAGGCTCGTTGCAATATCCCTTTGGTTACTTTTCCCCCCCTAGTTAGTTCCTATGGGTTCCAAGGGGAAGGTGGTGACACCAGCATGGGGAGATTTCCCAGTCGGGAGACTGGCTATACCAAAATGGAGATGGAGTTATTGGGAGATACTTTTTCAGACCAGGTCAGCACCACATTTTATTTGTTTCCTGGGGGAGTTTGGAAAAAAAGGGGTAGCCCACTGAGGAGCAGATAACCCTAGGCAGCCTGGGGAGTACCGGATGGGGGGGGGGGGTAATAATGCAATCCCTGTTAACTTTCCATGGCAAGGTAGAGGTGGTGAGGGGGAGTAGGCCATTTAGTTGCCCTGTTATCTCCCCGTTCTAGGGTCAGGGACACTCTTTAAGAACGTTGAGCGGATGCTTCGAGTAGACAGCCTAGAGAAGCTGGATCAGAAGCGGCTGGTAGAACTCATAAATGCGAGTTTTGGCAAGAAACTTCGGGATGACTATCTGGCCTCTCTTCGACCACGGCTGCAGTCCATTTACTATTCTGAAGGGTGAGCCAAGGCAGTGCTGACCCAGGAGTGGTGCCTATGCCATGGGTAGCATCTATGGCTCCTGAAGGTGTCAGAGAGGGGCTGAGGCAAGAGAGAACGAGGTGGGAGACAGAGGACAAATATACCCAACTATTGTAAGAATCTTACTAAAGGAACCCCTGGGAAATGTTGACAAGCCTCACAGGTCTCTGAGCCAGTGGAAGGAGAGGCCCAGAAAGCTGCCGGTGAGGTTAGGGGAAACCCTGACCCTGTCCCACTCGCCCTGGTTCCAGGTACAATGCTGCAGCCATCCTGACCACTGAACCTGTGCTGGGAGGCACCCCTTACCTAGACAAGTTTGTGGTGAACTCAAGCAGAAAGGGACAGGGCTCAGGCCAGATGCTATGGGAGTGCATGCGACAGGACTTGCATCGACTTTTCTGGAGATCCCGTGTCACCAATCCCATCAACCCCTGGTAGGCATAGGCATTGTCTATATTTTAACTTTTTTTTGGCGGGGCTAGACCATGGGGTTAAGTGACTTGCCCAGGGTCACACAGCTATTAAGTGTCAAGTGTCTGAAGCCAGATTTAAACTCGGGTCCTCCTTACTCCTGAGACCGTGCACCACCTAACTGCCCTCTATATTTTAACTCCTAAATGAAAGACACTAGATAGATCTAGATCATTTAGTCCAGATCCATTATTTGACCAATGAGAACCCCCCAAAACCTGAAGCCCATGGTCACAAAGCAAGTTAGTGACTGACCAGAATCAGGGTTTTCTGCCTCTGGACCCAATGCATTTACAATTATACCATAGCACAGATGTATGAGTGACACCCTGGGCTACTGTGCCCATAATATTCCCTCCAAGTCCAGGGTTCAAGCAGCAGATGCTATAGCTATCATAGAACTACCAAATCTGTCACCTGGACCCTGTGGCCTGGATTTTCTTCATCGCCTCCAGATACCCTGTCATTTCTGTGTGCCATGAGGCCCCCTCGCTGCAGATCCTCCAGGACTCAGGGGTTCTCCAGAGATCACAGCCATCTACCCATTCCCTTTCTTTTGTTATATCCCTGCTGGTGAGGAACAACACATTCACAGACCCATATAAGTGTAAGATTTCTGAAGGGACAGGCTCTATATTGATTGGAGCTCACCAGAAAGTAACAAAATTCAGTTTCATCTAGCAAAAGGGAAAATATGTGCAGTGATCCCTTAAGCCTAGGAAGGTACGTTCAGTCATTTCGGTTCAGTCTATACCCAGCTTGATCTCCACTCAGGTCCATGAAGTGGATTCTGCTCCTGGCCTCTCCCTGCTTCAGATCAAGTTAAACACTCTCTTCACCCTCTCAGAAAGCAGTTGAGTGCCTCTGATTCCCCAGGACCTAGTCCTACCTTAGGGCTAGCTGCTACACCCACTCTGCCCCTACTCACTAAGCAACAGTTCTATTCAAGCCTGTTGCCTCTAGGAAGTGTATTATATACAGGTAGTATATATAAGCACAGCTGATTAGCAGCTGAACAAACTTGCAGCACCTGGGAGGCGGCTTTTCTTTATATTAATTCAATGATTTCTTCCACCAAATAGACTCCTCTCCACCCCTCTGGACCAGGGGTCTGTGCATTCTTTAAAACAAAAACAGATGGTAACTGCATTTCAACGTAATAGGTTTCCTTTGTAATCCAACATACTATATTTTATGCATTTACAAACACGATTCTGAGAAGGGGTCCACAGGCTTTCCCAGACTGCTGCCGACGGAGTCCATGGCACCAAAAATGGTTAAGAATCCCTAGGCTAGACAAAGGCAATGGTTCTCCTGCATCCACTTAGCCATCCCCTGCCCCTCCCTCCCAGCTGTGCTCCAGTGGATTCTCTTCTCACAGGCAATAAGCGTTCAAGCTAAGCCAAGAAGATATTGAGGGAATACTAGCCAGCATTTCAAAATAAGAATCTGCCCCCCAGTTGGACAAAGCATGGCACTAGCCAGAAAGAGGGTAGCATAGACTTCTCAGAGTCCAAGTCCAGGAATCCTTCCCACAAGCTGGGGCAATTGGGTGTGCTGGGACTGGAGGAGGGCAGTGGTCCCATGCACTGACATGCCCATCCACTGCTCCCTTCCCACCCCAGGTACTTTAAGAACTGTGATGGGAGCTTCTCCAACAAACAGTGGATCTTCTTCTGGTTTGGCCTGTCTGACATCCGGGACTCCTATGAGCTTGTTAACCATGCCAAGGGACTGCCTGACTCCTTCTGCAAACCAGCCTCTGACCCAGGCAGCTGACAGGAACCATCAACCCTTCGGGCCCCAGCCCAACTGAATGCACAGCCAAGAGCCATGCAGAGGCAGTGGTCCCAGAGAAGTTAGGAGGCAGGCCTGGGTTTACTGGCTGAGAAACTTGCATAGAAGGGGAGATGGGAAGGCCTTGAGGCCCTCAGACTCTGGGAAGGGGAGGGAGCCAGTAAAGCAGCAGAAACAGGGAGGCTAGCCTACCTGAATGGAGTATGGGTATCTGGAACCTGCTGTCCAGAACTCTGACAGCTGTTCCAAAGCAACTAGTATCTATTTCTTCATCATGCTCTGGGAACTCCGATCCCATCAAGGCTCCTACCCAGGGCCAACTGATGTATGGGTGAAATACACGGCCACCTCCATGTGTGATTTGAGGTTTACTATCCCCAGATATTACCCTTGCCTCTTACTACTCCTAAAATTCACCATTTAAGATTAGTTTCTTCAGGTCCTAGGTTTTTCCTGAGTCTCCTATTTAAATGTTAGCTCCTTTCAGCTCTCAGATTGGGGGGGGGGGGGGGGGCCAGGAGTTAACAGAGAGAGAGCCGTCCTGAGAAAATAGGATGCAGAAGAGGTTCCTGGGGTTGGGGAGAAAAATAGCAAGGTGGGAGCATTTTCAAAGTCAGACTCTACTGACCAGGACTTTGCCCCTCACTGAAAGACTCTATTCCTACCCTCTGTAAGAGTGTAGGGAAGAAAAAGAAGTCCTGTTGGAAAAAGGACGAGCAGAAATGATCCCCTGTACAGTTCCCAGTGACCTTCAGGTCCAGGAATAGTCATTGTCCATCCAAATCAGGCCAGCAGCAGCCTCGGTCCCTGTCCCAAGTCCTACTCTCTCTATAGCCCAAGATCTCAATGCTACCCTCACCCCTCAAAAAAAATCTCATCATCCTGATCCAAAGTGAGAAGATGGGCAAAACAGGCCTGCTGTAAAGCCAGTAAGTACAGAAAGCAACATTTATCCTGTGAGAACTGCTAAGGCAAACATCAACTGCCAATATTAGCTGAAAGACAGACTCATCGACATTTTGATTTTAAAAGCTCAGATGACATGCTGGATTTGGAGTTTGGGGGAATGGGACTATTTGCCAATGTCTAGAAGTCAGGCCAAAGCAGAAGCGGGTACTCGCACTCCAGTGAGTAGATACTGGGGAGCCAGGGGCCATGAGTCCATTCCAGCCACTGTCATCTTTGCTTTCCTGCACATTTGGACGGAAATAAGTCCCTAACTCTTTGGTTACACAAGAAATCAGGTATCCACATACTTCTTCATTTAAAAAACAAAAAAGGCTGGGGAGTGTGGGATGGAGAATCAATCTGAGTTGTAGCAGGAAAAAATAAATTGACCCATCAGGAAGAACTCCCAACCTGGAGAACAAAAACAGAACAGAACCAAAAGTTGCAAGTGGGTATTTTAGCATGGAATCTCCAAAACAGAGGGCAAAGTGAGAGGCAAGTGCTAGAAGAGATGATCTAGGGTAAGAAACCAGCTCATATCAAAGGCGCCTGCAGAGAAACTAGAAAAGCAAACCCAAAAGTATGTATAGAGTGTTTATTTCTGGAAGATGGTGGAGTACGGTGACTGGGGAACACGGAAAAGGAGGAGAGGGGTGCTCTTGCCCCCAGGATATCCACCTCACAACTTGGAGCAAAGACATGGCGGATCCTGGAGAAGGTTTCAATCAGAGTGGGGACAATGGGTTGGAGGAGAGCCATGTTCTCAATCACCTTACCCTGGGTCCCAGTCAAGGAGGAATGTTAAGCAGATTGGTGAAGGGGGCTGATAGGAACAGACTAGCTTTGCCCCTGTCCTTCAGAAACCCAGAGAATACAAATGAAACTTAAACTGGGCTGGGTCAGTCCCCTTGTCTAGTCTTGAGTCTGGTCCATGCTGCTACGTACAACACACACACACACACACACACACACACACACACACACACACACACCCCCATTATCAAAATGCTAGACACCGTAAGAAAAAGAAATATACACATCTGGTCCTTGTCTTTCTCTGTGTCTTTGCTTCTCTTCTAGTCTGCTTCTGTCTATCCAACTTCTCCCTTCCTCTACTGGCCCTACCACCCCATAAGCCTCCCCAGATCTTCCCAGAGGTTCCTCTCCTGAAATAAATCCTCCCTTCCTGGGTCAGAAAAGCCCTGGGGGAGGTCATCACCCCCACTCCATCCCAGTTGCTAGGGCTTCTTCCTTTCTCTTAAAGTGCATTTCCTAGGGAAACAGGATAAAGATCTTTTTCATGTCAATCATTACAAAAGAAAGTTTTTTGGTTTTGTTTTGTTTTTTAAGCATAAATAAACAGCCTATGGAAGAAAATCCCCTGTACCACCACCCCCCAAAAAAATCTGCCCCTCTCACCCCATTCCTAAGGGGTGCCATTCAGCCATCCGTGGCCAGGATCACCGAAGCCCCAAAGATGCCCACATTCTCGCCAATGAGCTTCATCTGATTCCAGAACTCAACTCGTCGAGTGTTGTGCCAATAGACGATGTTTCCATCAATGAGGAGGATGATGAGGGGTAGCAGGACAGCCAGGATCTGAGCAGCCAGGGCCACATAGTAGCCAGAGAGGAAGGCCAGAGCCAGGACACCATAAAGGATGAAGAGCAGCTGGAGTGTAAGTTCCCCTCCTGGGATGTGGTTCAGATATGCCAGCCGGTCTTCTTTGCTGTGCTGGAGAGAGTAAGCCTGGGGCGAGGGCAGGGGGAGGTCAGTGGTCCCTGGGACACAGTATTACCCCTAACTGGAATACTTTCCCCTCTATATAAATTCAATTCAACCACTGATCACCCCCCTTTGAAGATTCATTGATTCACCCCCTTGATTTGTAGTTGTCTTAAAAGTATTCTTAAATCATGCTGACTCCTCCAGCTACCATCTCACACCCCTCATCTCTATCCTTGCTTCAACTGACAAACCTCTAGCAAGAGTAATTTAGACCCAATGCCTCCAATTCCTCAGCTGCTACTTCACTCTGCAATCCCTTGCATACTAGCCTTCCTAATTCCAAAGCCTGTTAATCCTATCCCCACCCAACTCTGATGGACCCAGCTGACCTTTCTGCATGCTCAATCCTTCTCTCCACTCACTCCCTTCCCTTCTGGGGAAGGTCTTCTCTCTCCTAACAGATTTCACCCTGATACTCCCTCCAACTGCTAGCCCATATCTCTCCTCCTTTTCACCAACAAACCTCCAAAGACTGGTTTATACTTATTTAAAGCTTTCAATTCCCCATAACCCACTCAACTTCTTGCATTTGGGGTTCCTTCTTCCCTACTCTTCCCAAAACTGTTCTTAGGGTCACTAATAATCTCCTAATTGACAAATTAAATGGCTCCTGAGTCTTCCTCCTCCTTAATGTCTCTAAAACATGACCCTATTGACAAGCACCCCTGATAGGTACTCTGTAACTATACACAAAATTGAGTCACTGTTGACACCTTCTCTCCCATAATGTTTATATCAATCAATAACCATTTAGTAAGCACCAAGTATATAACAGCTACTGGGCTACTGACACAGTCACTTAATAGATATCCTTACCTCCATATCTATCTCCTTCAATCTATCTTACTATGCCAGCCATAGTAATCAACCTAATGTACAAAATTGACATTACTTGCTACCCAAAAAACTTTAGTAGTTTCCCACTGGCAAATGAATCAAGTCCAACCTTCTGAGTCTGGCATTTGAGACCCCTTCTTTTTCCAATGTTGTCTTACACTACTCTCCTTCACATATTTCAATTCAATTCAACAAACATGTACTAAGTGTTTAGTATGTCCTAGACACTGAGCTAGGCACTGAAGATACAAAGACAAAAACTAAATAGTTCCTGCCCAAAAGTAGCTTACGTCCCTTCTGGGGGATACCAACATGTACCCAGATATGGCGATACAAAGTATAAAAAAGCAATGCACGGTATTTTTAAGAGAGAGAAAGTGCTAAACAAGAAAAGGTGTCCTGAAGAAGGTGGGCCCTGAGCTGTTCCCTCAAGGAAGACAGGGAATCAAAGTGGGCCAGCTGAGTAGGGTGTCCATTCCAGGAATCACGGCAAAGGCATGGAAGCAGGATGAGATCAAACACACACATACACAAACTTTGTCTTTTAAACCAGACCTGTGGCTCCATCAGTGGAGGAGTCTCCCAGAAAGGGGCTTCCCCAATCAATGCCAATCAGTGCTTTCTCTGAAACTCAGTCTTAAAGAGACATCTCAAAGAAACAGTAAATCTTGGAAAAAAGGACTCATGATGAAAAATGCTGTCCACATCCAGAGAAAGAACTGATGGAGTCTGAATGCAGATCAAAGCATACTATTTTCCACTTTATGTGTGTGGTTTTTTTTCCTTTTGGTCTGTTTCTTCTTTTACAACATGACTAATATGGAAATGTTTTACATGACTGCACATGCATATACATATATATATATATATATATATATATATATATATATCTCAAAGTGCTTACCATCTTAGGGAAGAGGGAGTTGAAGGAGGGAGAAAATTTGGAACTCAAAATTTAAAAAAAAAGAATGTTAAAATTATTTTTACATATAATTGGGAAAAAATAAAATACTATTTAAAAAAGAAAATCTTGGAAAATCACAGAACTATCCCAGAAAGGAGGCCTTCAAAGGCATGGGGATGGATGGCCATGGACCAGCCTAGCTGAGTATGAAGAAATTCATCCTGTGAAGGATAAAAGGATAAATCTTTCTGCCAGAGACTCAAAAGCACCTTCTGCCAGGCCACAGAAGAGCGAGTGCAGCCCAGAGGAGGCAATAATCTGATCACTGGTGAAATCAAGCATGGTTAGTTGTGCTGTTTGTGCCATATCACCAAACCAAACCATACATTCTACAAAAACAGGAACGACATCTTACACAAAATTTTATTCCAGCCAAGAAAAACAGCAGAGCAAAGTGGAGAGAGAACCAGGGAGACTTGGTTTCAAGTCTTGCTTTTGATACCTATGAGCTATCCCTGTCTCCCAGAAGTTCACTAAGGCTATAGATTACAGGTAAACTGGTGATCTGCATAGGTAGAAAGAGTCTCCACACCAAGAATTCCTGACGCTGATGAAATCACAGGTCTGGATTCCTCCAAAAATATTTCAGCCCACCTGGATGGCTCCAATACATGCCATGCCTTTCCATCTCCACCCCTCTGCCTCCATTCTCACTGTGCCCAATACACACAAGCAATCCCCACCCTCATCCCAGTCAAGCCTAGAAGGCCCTCTCCCATCTGTACTCTTGATAACTCACTCTTTGCTCAAGGCTCAGCTCAAGGGCTCCTGCCCCTCAATGAAGCTTTTCTTGACCCACCCACTCAAAAGCTTTTTTATGAGCCTTATTTTGTTATCTGTGTACATGTTTTGTTTCCCTCCTAGGCCATAAGTTCCAGGACATTAGGACCTAGGTCTTATTTCTTTTTTTGTCTTGTTCAGTGTCTATTGCAGGGCACTCCATCGATCAGATCCTTAATAAATGTTTATTGAATTGCCGAATTGAATAGTCCAGCTTTACTGAGTATAAGGCAGAGACCCATTTTTTTTTTTGGGTGAGGCAATTGGGGTTAAGTGACCTGCCCAGGGTCACACGGCTAGTAAGTGTCAAGTGTTTGAGGCCAGATTTGAACTCAGGTCCTCCTGAATCCAGGGCCAGTGCTCTATCTACTGCGCCACCTAGCTGCCACTGACCCATTTTCCATTAGCAACGATTGCCCCAGAAGATAGTCAGTCTAGAATTACTCCTCTCACCACCCCAGCTTAGTCTGTCTTATGTGGCCCCTGAACTGAATCAATATTCTCTATAGTACAACTGGAGCTCAGGTTGGGACGAGGATAAGAAGCAATCTTTTAACCCAGGCTTCTCAGGTAGGACTAGGATTTGTAGGGTCAATGCCAACCCTTTCCCTGGGATCAGTGCTGACATAAGAGAAACTCCTAGATAGAGTCAGCCCAATCCCAGGAACAAAGGGAACCCAGCAAGTAAGAACACCTTTCCCCGAATCACCCAGAAACATGCCCTTTAGTAAGGCCAAGTTGCTATGCAGAGGGGATTCATGGCTTTAGGATGTTCCTTCCTCTCCTGGAAAAGGACAACATGCCAGCTACTCTCCAGATCGCCAGCAAACCTCCACTGGAATGTGGGGAAGTCCCATCCCTGTTCAGCTAACTGGAACTCTCTCTCCAAAGAATGGATATCGATGGGAAGACCCACCCCAACCCTTCAAACCCTCCCAACCTACCACACAGATGAGGTAGATGCCCAAGAACACTTGGCCTGTAGATTGAAGAGATCGGCTTCGTGGTTTCTGGCGATAGAGTTCACCTGCCCCACTAGCCAACACCAGAAAACCACCAATAATAGCAATGGTTCTGGAATACATTCGGACCTGGAAATGGGATAGGAGACCCTATCAGAAATAGCGCATCCAAAGAAGCCTCCCCAGAGCAAAGCTCCACTTTTGTCCTTCCCAAGACAGTCAATTTCTCCTGTTTTACAACATAAATGTTCCTCCTCAGGAAGTCTTTCTTGATGCCCTCATCTTCTCCCCTCCCCTATTCCTCTCCCCAGTTCTCCCAGCATGATTCCTAAAGCCATCTTCCCTCCCACTGACACCAATGATGGTACTAACTACAGATACCAAATGTGTCCCTGCTTAATTCTCAGGGGCCCCAGCATCACACAACCCCACTCCCAACAGGGACTAACTGGGCACCATACCCACTCACCTAGATACCATGAATGGAAAATAACTCACTGGCTACCACACATGGTTTTGGCACAAAAACTCTAGTCTTCTGCCCACTCCCTTCCCCTCCCAGCTCAGGCTGCTACAACCGAAGCCCAGGAGGACATCACTCACCTTAAGCCAGTCTCCATAGTGGACATAGCCCCCTATATAGGCTGCATAGGTACTGACAGCCAGCTGGAGGGCAGCTCCCAGTGCAAACCAACGGCGCTTCACCCCGAATGACATGAAGCTGGCACAGAGCACAGCAGCCCCCATGTCAAAGTACAGGTAGGGCACTGGGATGTCTGGCTTCCTGAAGAGTAAGCAAAGCAGCAATGTGGGGTCCTGTAGGATGCCCAGCAGACACATTGTCTATGCCAAGCTCCTACTGGGCATCACAGCACACTGTATTTGGAGTCAGAAGACCTGAGATTGAATCGTGGCTCAGCCACTACTTGTGTGACCTTGAGCAAGTCACTACCACGCTGCTATGCTCCACCCCCACCTCCCAGTTTGTCAAAGTGTAAGATGAGGTTGGGCTAGATGACCCCTAAAGTAAACCGCCTTTCAAGTCAACTCAAGAAGCATTATTTTATTAAACGGCTAGTGTGTAGGCACTGTGCAAAGGAAGGGGCGGAGGGGAATACAAAGAAAAGCTCTGCTTTAAATCTAAGATCCCAAGAACTGCTTGCTCCCATCCAAAAAGCCTTGCACTACCACCCCCCAACCCAGGGCACCCAATGGTGACCCAATCCTGAGAGGCAAGAATGCCTCTTCCAGCGTTCAGGAAGTGCTACCCTCCCTATCACACCTGCAGCGGCGGTCCCACATACTATCCCCATAACATAGCCCTAGTAAGTGTCTCTCTCCCCTCGCCCCGCCTCGGCAGTAACAGGTAAGTCGCCCGCCTCCTCCGTGCCCGCTCCACTCCGCCCCATCTCGCCCCCCCCCCCGCCCCCCCGCCCCGCCCCCCCTCCCTCCCAGCCCCCCGCCCGCCCGCCTACGGTGGCCGAGCAGGCTAGCTCACCGGCGCGCGTCGGCCCGCTCGGCGTACAGCATGAGCTGGCTGAAGCAGCCCCAGAACGGACACCGTGTGAGCAGCACCGAACCGAACTGCATGAGTAGCTGCAACAGCCGCCGCCGCCGGCCCGGCCCCGCCGCCATCTTGGGGAAGGACAGTCGGCACCCGGCCTCGACCTCGGTCTCGCTCCGGAGCGAGCAGCGGGGGCGGGCGCGAAAAGGTGACGGGAGAACGCGAACAGAGGCTTCCGGGGCCGCCGGCTTCTCTCTTCCGACCGGAAACTGAGCCCAGCCCCGACCCACACCGGGCAATACGTGGTTCCGGCTGGCGCGGGGAAGCGCGTCTGGGACGTCAGTCTGCGGAGACAAAGCGCAGCTCGGCGTTTCGTCCTTCCCACGCTGCCAGTTTTCGCGTGTTTGTTTTGAGCGGCTGGCTGCAGCTTTTTTCGGTCATTTTAAATCCAGATTCAGGAGTGCAAATAGATTGAGCATTGTACATTGAAAGGAGGGATGTCCCGCACTTCTGTTTCCCCATCTGTAAAATTAGGGTTTTCGGGGAAGCGGACCGCTTATGGTCCTTTCAGCTCTAAATGCCATACTATAGTCAAACTTCCCTCTCTTTCAGCAGTCTTTTGAAAATTTGGTAAGCCTGCAGGACAGTGGGCAAGTTAATTCCCCTCTCTGGTCCTCAGTTCCCTAATGAGGGGGTGGGATTAGGCCTCCAAAGCCCCTTCCAGGGGCACCTACTCCTACGAGGCAAAGCAGAGTCCCGGGAGCAGGCTTACACTAGCACAGTGCTAAAAAGAAGCGTTTTCATTCGTTTGTTCGCTTAGTTCATCTTACCCAGCCTAATCCTGTCTTCACGCCCCCCACAAAGGTTGGTCCCCTGTTTTGGGGGGTCCACACCCAAGGTTGGAGGTGGGATGGAACCTGCCCTGCCAAGGGAATGCTTCGTGGAAGAGATGGTATTATGTTGGGTTTCAAAGGATATAACTGAAACAGGCAAAGTTGGAGGAGGGATTTTATAGACCATTCCATTTTCCACTATAAAATGCAGCTGCTTCCACTCACCCTTTCTGACTCAGAGGAAGAAGTGTCCTGATTCCTTGTATCCATGGAGGCTAACTCCACTTGACCATTCAATCTCATTCTTCCCACCTCCTCCAGATCCTTTCTTTAATCAATTATGGTTCTTAGTTGTGGAAAGACAGACTTTTTTGTTAGTGGATCTGTGAATCAGCCCAACCATTCAGGAAAGTACTTTGGAATATGCTAAGGATGACCAAATTGTCTTTACATACCACTACTAGGTACATAACCCAGAGATCAAAGATAGGTTTGAATATACACCAAAACTTTTTGGGCAAGTAATAAAGAATTAGAAATAAGCTAGGTGCCCATCAATTGAGGAATAGGTACACAAACTGTGATACATGAATGTAATGGGATATTACTGCTCTGTAAAAAAGGATGACTGAAGATTAGAGAAGCATGATGCAGTCAAATAAGCAGAAGTAGGTAAGCAACATGCACAATGACTATAACTATGAACAATATATACAGTATAAAAATGAAAGAAAAAAATCAAATAATTACAAGGACCCAAACTTGGTTCTGAAGAAGGGATATGACCAACATACTCCTTTCTTTTTAGAGGTGGGGTACTGTGAATGTGAAAATTGCATATACTATTGTACTCAGCTGAATAGGTTGAATAGATTTTTATCCTTTCTCTGGAAGGGGGAGATATTGGAAAATAAAAGTGATATAAACACTTATGGCCTCCCTATCAACTTCTCAGAGCTCTGCTAGCCCCTTCCCCTCTAACATTTTCATCGTCCCCTATTTACATAGCAAAGCAAAAACACCTTAATGATACCCTGGAAGGGAGAAGGGAAGAAAATAAGCATTTATACCACACCTAGTATCTGCCAGGAACTGTGCTGTGTTTCACAGATAGTATGGTCCTAACCTAGAAAAGTAGGTGCTATTATTATTCCCATTTACTGAGGCAGAGTTTGTGACTTCTCCAAGGTCACAAAGCTAGAAAGTGTCTGAGGCAGGATTTTGAAATCGTCTTCCAGATTCCAGACCCAGTGTTCTAATCACTTCACCACCACCTGAATCTCTAGGATCCTAATTTTATAAATTTCTATAGTAGTCTATTACTTCTACTTCTTTGTAGAGGGATGTGGGAAGGAGACAGTGCACCAGTGTGGAACATTGTATGTCATATTTTTTCTATGTGCTGATTGGTTTCTATTTCTTCTCTTAAAAAAAAAACTTTTCTAAGGGATGGCTCTCTAGGAAGGGGAAGAGAGATGTAGGGGAAAATAATAGTCATGGTAAAAAAAAAAGATCAGTACAAATCTATTTTTTAAAAGAGTAATAACATTAACTGCTTCAACTTTCTCACCACCCTCTCCTTAATTCAGTTTATACTCACAATTTTGTCAACATTGCTACTGTCATCCCTTGAGTTCAGGGCATCTCACCTGGACTATTCTAATAACATTTCCTCCTAGTCTCCCTGCCTCCAGTTCATTCCTGCCAGTTGCAAAACAGATCTGAGGCACAGTGCAGTGGAAATGGGCTATATTTGGAATCCCCAGACATGAGCTCTAAACCATTTACTGCCTCTATGACCTCGGGCATAGACCTCTCGTAGACCTCAACCTCTCTGGGCTTCAGTAGTTTCCTTATCCATAAAATTACGAGGTTGAACTACATAACCTCTAAGATCCCTTCTAGCATGATCTTATGGATCTTCTTAAGCAAAAGTTCTATCAAGTTCTATCCTGCTTAAAAATCTTCAATGGTCATTGTTAGCCTAGCACTCATCTTTTCCTTTGTATTCCTTAAAGTTTCTAGTCCAATATCTTGCATAGTATAGACCATCAAATGGACAATAAGCTGTTATTTTTATCTAAAATACCAGGTTATAGTTTGGACATTTGGGGCACTGGGTGGAGGGCGTAATGGGATATGACTATATAAGACAACTGGTGATGTAGGGGGGTAAAGGAAGGGGGGTGGTTAGTTGGTGGTGATGACAAATAACAAGCACTTCCCAAACTCAGGATCCCCTCTCCCCCCCAAACTAAAAAAGGCACAACAAAAAGAAACCATTCTCCAACAAGTTTATTTCTCCTGAACCCCATACCCAATTCAGATTTGGAAGACAAAATTCCCCAGTGGGGAACACTTAGTCATTAACTTGCAAGTTGAGATAGAATTTAAAGCACTTGTTCTTCGGACATCATCTACAAGTTCAGACTGACCCCCAAATCATAGGGCCCTTAATGAAGGCCAGGGAACTTTGACCAACGAAACCCTAAGATATGCAGAGCTGCAGTGGGGAGTGTTAATAAAAGCTTTCTCGGTACTCCATCCCAAATTTGCTGCATGCCACATCCCCAGCTCTCGTCTGCCCCCTCCCCACATCCCCAGGAGGAAACCCAGTCTTGGAACAGATTTTGGCATCTTATACCAGTCATAACACTGGGTCAGAAAAGGAGAGTGATTAAGGGAGGAACTGAGGGAGTCATTTCTTAGCTCAGTGCTCTTGGAACACAAAAAAGAAACCTAGAATTCTTTCCCTCTACTACTCTTAGCTTTTCCTGCTTTCCCTTGATGCTAGTCCTTTCTCTCCATTAACTATCTTGAATTTATCCTGTCTTTATTTCTACGTAGTTGTTTTCATATTGTCTCTCATTAGACTGAGCTCCAGAGCAGGAACTGTCTTGCTTTTCTTTGTATGCCAAGGACTTAGCACAGCGCCTGCCACGTAGAAGATACTTATTAAGTACTTACAGACTAACAATCACTGAACTGGAGGAGGGGAAAAAAAGGGTCATGCCTCTGACACACCTTTCTACTTACCTGACTTCTGGGCACTCCCAGCGTCCCTGCGTCTGGACTTTGACCAGCCTAACACTGCAGGGATCCTTATACGATTAAAGTGTTCAGCACAATACGCCCATCAGTGCTGATCCAGTCAGAAGTTCAGGCCCTGAGTAAGTTAGTTACCTAAAATTTGCTATCTACGATTGTAGACAGGCATCTCAAACCCTTATACAAAGTCAAATTTGTATAATCAGGGATTGTTTGCAAACAGAAGCCAGATTCCTGTGGTAAATGTCCACCTCTTTCTTGAAATAAGAGTATTCCAACTAGTTCAGGGAAAGAAGTAAAACCACCTATTGCAAGGTCAAGGCCTCAGCCCATCCCCCTAAAAGTGCCCTGCTCTAGTACAACCACCTGGTTATAGCTCAAGTCAAGAAATTCCAGGGTCTCCAAATACTAAATGTTCAGAGTTCAGGGCTTTGAGGCGATTGTATTCAAGGCCCAGCTCTTTCAAAGGAGCCCAGAACATCAGAAAAGTCAGGTGGGAATAGGTGAGCCAGTTGTAGCTGAGGAGCTGATCCAAGAAACCTAAGCCAGAGGCCTCTAGGGCTGGGTGCTACAAAGCCCTTTGGGGTAGCAGCACTCAAAGTCCCTCAAAGGAGCTCCAGGTCAGGTTGTTGAAAGTTGTTGTGGCTCAGCTTCAAGAGGCAGGGCCCATCAGAGTGACTCCAGGGGAAGGGTTAAGGAAGCCATGTCCCTGGCAACTTTCCAACACAGTCCTAGGAGCTTGGCAAGAGCAGAGAACAGGACTGGTTGCTGCTATAGCCTTGAGTAAGACAGCCACCCCCAACGTGGGGCTTGGTGCCACACCAAGAGAAGAAAGTTCAGCAGTATGGCAACACCAGTCTCCAAGCCCACTGGGAAGGGGAAAGAAATAGGATCGGGACCCACTGGCCAGATGGTTCAATATTGCCTAGGACTTGAAGCAACCTGAACATCTCACCTATGCACCCTCAAAATGTTTGCTGATACTAGGAAACAAAAAAAGGGATTATCATCAGTAATAAACCAGGGTCCCTATCCCAAACCACTCTTTCTAACAACCCCATTACCCATTTATAATAATAATAGTAATTATTATAATAGTGATGATGATGATGATAGCTACCATTTACATAGCACCTATTATGTGCCAGGCTCTGTGAGCTAAGCACTTTACAAATATTGCCTCATTTGATCCTCACAAGAACACTGGGAGGTAGGTGCTATAATTATCCTCATTTTAGAAATGAGGGAATTGAGGCAAACAGGGGTTAAGTGATTTGCCCTGGGTCACGCTAGTTAGTACCTAAGGCCATATTTGAATTCAGGTCTTCTGACTCCAGCCCCAGTGCTCTATCTA